TGATTTACATATCTTTTGTTTAGAGTTTTTTCAATCGATGGCTTCCTTCCTTTCTATGGAAGAATCCCACATTTTTTTGTATCAAGACGGAAAAGTGACAAGTTTAAACCTCTTTTTCCCAACCACCTACTAATCGAACCAGCATTTTGTCTGTTTATTGTCATATTTTTTCAGTTTTCAACAGTTTTATCTCAACAACCTCTGTTGAATTGAGTTAATGTAAATGTTATGTAGGTTAGATTATGTTAGGTCAAAAGTGAGTGGGTCTATTTGACCCTCTACCGCAACCCGCAAGGGTTTATTGTGGCTCAAACATATTCACACGCGACCAAATAAACCCAGCTTCTCAACGATGCCGATTAGCCGATTATAGGATGAATATATAGCTGATTATATGGTGAGTTATCTTCAAGGTCAGGTGGTGATTCTGTCCGCAGCGGGACAAGCACAAAGGAGGCGACAGACACTGTCTTCCGATAGTTCAAGTCTCTGTATATGATATATAGTACTCCAACAACTGTTTGGTTACAAGCTTCGAAAGGTGAAAGAACGCCTTGGAGTGTGCCAATCCTGAAAGAGTTTGCCAGAAGTCCTTAAATCTTCTCGCCATCCAGATGTAAAAAGTTTGTTCGGCAAAACAGGTTCTGGTCCGATGAAGCTACTTGCAGCACCCTCCTTTGCAAGGGAGTCAGCAGCTTCGTTGCCTTCCAGGCCATTGTGGCCAGGAATCCAGACCAGAGGCAATTTGATAAGTTTTTCCACTGAGGAGAGTCGTTTTTGGCAATTTGCTACCAATTTAGACGTGTTATGTTATGTAACATAAAATAGTCAAATAAATGAATGATAAGATAAATAATGTATCGAAATGATAAAAGTAGTAGACACGTACTTGAGTGAGACCACGTAATAACTGCATATCTTGATTGAAATTACTCAATTGCGATCAATTCGCGATCCATTCTCCACAGATTAACATCAAATCATCAAGATTAAAGTTTTCATTGGTTGACATTTGAATAGAAATTTGGATACTCGTGATGCAATGTTTGGAACCTTTGGTGTAATAATCAATATTACTGGAGGTTTATCCCAACAACGTTATTTTAACACCTCGACACGTGTTTCGGTCACCAAGTGATCATCTCCAAGAGAAAAATCAAACAGTTCAATCTCCCTCTTGAAGATGATCATTTGGTGATCTAAACACGTGCCGAGGTGTACAATAACGGTTTGGTGTATATTGAAATGTAAAAAATATTTGTGTTGTTGGTATGAGACTCCTTAGATAACATTCCTATTAAGCTTTATAAAAAGCCAGTATCAGTACTGACAAAAAAGAGATCATGTTGAATTTAACATTTGGAAGCTATAAATTTTCATATGAAATCTACCGTTACCCTGTAATTGGAGAAAATGACTACATGCATGTGAAAAACTGCTAAGACAGATGTTGCGATCGTGCTCCCTTCAAGGAATATTATTCGATTCAATTTTGGTTTATCAAAAACTCGCGAGAAATGAGATTGGTGCAACTTTGTACACATGTTGGTAGATGGTGCTTAGAAACAAAATCTGTCGCGCGTGTATTGTTCAGATATTCATTCATGTGAAATAAAATCACCTAATATTAATTTTCCGTCATCCCATGCTGTTACATCAAGACAATATACCAGCCCACAAATCCATTACAGCAATGACTAAAATTAACATATTAAACTTTTCAATGCTACATCCTGCACCCTTTTCGCTAGATTTAGCCCTTCCGGATTATTTTCGTTACCAAACTTGAAAAAATAGCTTAATGGTCAAAGATTTTCCGATCAAGAAGTGATGTCGGCAGTTGATGGCTATTTTGAGGAGCAACACAGTTCTTATTATAAAAACTTTTTGAAATTCCCTGGAAAAATGTATGGACCTGCAAGAAGATTATGTTGAGAGGGCAATCTTCCTTTTGAAGACGATGAGTTGGTGATCGAAACTCGTGTCGAGGTGTTAAAATAAGGGTTTGGTGTTGGGATAAAACTCCAAGTAATATTTAAAATTCTTGTGTTTTCTTTGTTGGTCCGGGCATTTTAAAGGACCACCCACGTATATCAATATCCTCTGCCATTCATTAGGTTATTAGTCTAATCAACAAGTTCAAAAACATGAAAAATAGAGATAAAGGTCCTGAAAATATGAGCGATAGCTCATTCGATTCGGAATCACCTCTAGAAAAATGTTTTTGAAGGATTTTTGTGCAGGTAAAAATTGCAATTGTTATTAACAAAATAAGATTCGAAAAAAAAGGTATTCAGTTTTTCGTTAATAACTCAAAAAATATNTTTTGATAAACTCTCTTTAGCGGTAGCGCGCGCATGCCGTAACAGCCGCGCGGAACCCTATTTTCAACTTCAAATTAAAATTATAAATAATGGAGATAGAGTTTCGGGAGTCGAGACTTTTTTATCGGATTCAAATCACTGAATTTGTTAAGTAAGTATTGTGACGCCTGAAGATGTTGTGGCATAGCAAAACACGTTTCGCAATTTTGTGATCTGCCAAGTGGTAATTCCGCATTGAAGTAATTTTTTTAATACATTATAATGGATTTTCAGTAAATATCGGCCAGTTTTATTATAGTTTTAATTGAAATTGCATAACAATAATTTTTGAGGACCAGCGTAGTAGGGGAATTTCTAAAATGGGATTAATGTTCCCGATCCACCGATTAGTTGAGTATTGAAAAATTAGTTCAACATCAAGAAAGCGTCACAGAATTTTTTGTAATGCCGAATTACAATTCCAACATCCAGAATACTTACTTTTCGCGCGTGGTAAATTTGAACGAATATCATGAAGACACAAACTCTTATGCTCACCTGTTACACTACAGCATGGTACCGGTACATATGATCATGGTACCGGTAACTCATAGTGATCAACGGCTGTTGTACCTCAAGAATCAAAAATGACAAGTAACAGTAGGAACCACTGCTAGCGAAGGCGAAAATATTTTTAATCGATGAACAAAGGTTCTAAGTATTCACATATATATTTATTGTCATTCAGTCAAAAGTTTAAAAAATATTTTCACCTGGTGACAATCAGGTGAAATGGTAGGTGAAAAGTTATGTTGAGATGTTTCTGATTGATTAGAAAAAAGTATGAGGTTCTAGGTTCAGAAATAATAACACATGGAAATAATAACACATAAAAAATATTGTTTTTAACTTTTGCAAAATATTATTAGTTGAATCTGCTTTTTATATCATTGACTGCTATAGTCGTAGCAGTCAATGATATAAAAACGTCGAAATTTAAAATGATAGGATATCTAAAATCAACTTGAGAGGTGAAAATGTCAGTTCACGAAGAAGATATGCTAGATATAGACTGATTGAAAAAAGCATTACACTCTCTTTCTGAAAATATTTGTTACCTGTGTTATTCATAAATATAGATAATAAACTAATGGTAAATATTCATACCACCATTAGGCAGGAGAATAGAAGTAATTGAAGGTTTTGCAGTGACCAATATCTGAAAACCGGTGATCAATACAAAACTAAATGTTTTTTCCGACAGTAAAACTATTTAGCCCATCCATAGAAAGTTTATTGATTTGATACCGAATCATTTTTGAAGATATGGCATTTTTTCAATTTCCATTCACTATCAAAACCAGTAGTGGTGTGGAAGATATTCGAAACAGAAACATGATTATACATATACTCTTCATTTGGAATTGAAACTTGAGTTTGCATTCCAGATTTATTTGCCTTTTTAGACGAGTTGATCAAACTAGTTTGATCAACTTCAGTAAATAATATGGTCAAAACTTAACCGGAACAAAAATAATTCGTAATCAATAAAAAAATGCTCGATTGCATTAAATTTTATCATCGTTTTCAATTACACATGATATTGCTTGAAAAGTTGTCATATCACAAAGGTTAGGAACTCACAAAATGAAGTTTGTAGTAATAGGGGAGTCCAAGCGGGGATTTCGGGATTTACTAAAGCGCGGCAGATTAATACAGGGGTATACCTTGTACCTGGTTAAGTACCTCCACCAAATATGAGCCCCATATATAAGGCCGTCCGTGAGGGATAAAGGATCAGATTAGTAAAAAAAATTGATCATCAGAAATTCTCGAGCGCGTCAGATTAAGGTAAGGTGAGTTAATTACCTGATAAAAATTGTATATGTCAGTAGTCTGACAATTTGAGAGTGACATAAAGAAAGGGGAGGGCAGCAAAGTTGTAAAAAAATAACGTCATTTCGACATCCTCGAGCGTAGCTATTTTTTTTTNCCATGAAATGTATTTTTAATGGTCAGTTTTATCGTATAATTTTCGGCAATACACAATTTTTGTTTGCATTTATGCAAATATTACGTATTTTGATTTGAATAGGTGCGGTATCCCAAAAAATTTTTGCGCCTCCGGCGGGCTTTTCTGTGTGTATATAGTCTTCGGCAATACAAAATTTTTGTTTGCATTTATGCAAATATTACGTATTTTGCTTTAAATAGGTGCGGTACCCCAAAAAATTTTCGCGCCTTCGGCGGGCTGTTCTGTATGTATATAGTCTTTATGACTTTAGCCTCCCCTGTTCTCCAATGCACGAGCCGTCACTGTAAAAGAAAACAAAAGACTATGATTTGTATGATTCTCATTGGTTCCAATATATTATACAACTATATTTGAAGAATACCTGAATCTTTCAACTCACCAATCTGTTATAGTTCATAGTACATTTTTTTTGTTCATTATGTGTATATTTAGTGGCATACCAGTTATTCTACTAATGAACCAGCCATGAGTATTGCCTAGACATTTTTTATTCATTAGATTTCATTGCATCTTTCTTCACGATGTTTTTTCGAACCAGAGTTACCAATCGGTACCGAAGTGGTACGCTGAAGTACCACCCAGTAACAGGAACACATGAGTTGTCATTCTATCTGAACGTAAATCATTGGTATGCGTGCCAAATGGTAACCCACTGGTACCTAATGGTACGGTCAAGTACCATCGAGTACTGGGAGATCATAAAACGATCGAATGTATGTTTGCAGAGCGGGTACCTCGGCGGCCTGCGGTCTAGCTTAGGCGGGTGGACGCAGAAAGTGAAGTCTTGGTACTGGGGCAGACCTCTTGTAAGTTTTAGGCCCTCGAGCACATTACGCATGAGCCCGCCACTGATTTTCTGATTTGGGAGTATCTTTCTGGATTATTTGAGCATTTTCGAAGCTGAAAGGTTCTACAAGTGGGATATTCATATTATTGTTTCAAAAATTATGCTATTATTGCTTCAGACGAGATTTTGACGAAAAGTGGTGATGACGAATAAAAAAAAACAGGTACTCAACAGAGAACTCCGCAAGGAATAACTGCCAAAGATTTTTTTCGCAATGAAACATAAATTTGTTTGGAAGAGGAATACCTTTTGATCCAAAAAACATTGCGTCAGGTATTCTTTACCGAATGTTTCAGTTATCAATCAACAACATTGACATACTTTTGTATTTCAAAATTCCTTTAACATCTGTCGAAAAAATAAAGAAATAAATAATCAAAAAGGAATAACTGCCAATATCTTGGAATTCGTTTGTCCATTTCTGAAGACGGAGGCAGATTTTGGCCTCCGAAACGTTAAGATAAATATTGTATTATTTCTTAGCAATTTTTTTGATAGGCAAAATTGTTGAATACGACAAGTTACTGATGAATATAAGATTCCAATTTGTGAAAAATACTTTGATTTTACGCAGTAACTTATCGGGGTGAACTGAAAAGTTTGCCCCTCTACACTTGTATAAAGTTCTCCATTATAATTTTTATATTTTTCAGATTGTGAAAGGTAACAAATACCAAAAAAAAGGTAGACAAAAAACTGATTTTCCCCCACAAAAAATGACCCGTTGAATATGGAAATATTATTGTATTACATTTTGCAGCAGTTGAGATACCATTTCGCGACTCACGCTAAAGATTCGTCCTGTTTAATTAGATTCTATTCAAACATTTTGATTGCTCACACCTGCCATAATGAACGATTAGGCTGTTTCGAAAGTTTTTTCCGCTATAATGTTTTATGTTTTTGTAGCTCCATATGTCAATGACTATTTATTCTACTATGTTGTGGTATATACTGATCGATAAAGAATTTCGTACTCTATACATTAATGCTGTTAATTTTTCCAAATTCAATTTTTTTGCCAATCTTCAGCTTATTAGAGTGGTCCAACGAAAGGCATGCACCCTGCTTTTCTCCTTTTTTGTAAGTTAACGCAAAAATGCTCGGACAGGACAATTTTACTTTTGAGGGGGACACATTTCAGATGTATTTTTCTACCTGTGCTTTCAACCCCGTAGCGAGGGNATATATCACTCGACCCCACTTTCCATTTAAAATTTAAGGGTTGTTACTCACCCTCGCTAGGGGGTTGAAGGCACAGGTAGAAAAATACATCTGAAATGTGTCCCCCTCAAAAACAAAATTGACTTGTCCGAGCATTTTTGCGTTAAGTTACAAAAAAAGGAGAAAAGCAAGGTGCATACTTTTCGTTTGACCACTCGATATAGCGTGTAAAAGACAAATGAAATAAAATCATTATTTCGGTTACGATTCATATTTTAACAAAATCCCGAAACACGTCAGATTTTAATTATAATTTGACATTCTCCAACATAAAAATGCCACTCCTTTCTTCACTCCCTTTGAATAACAGGTACAACCCCCAATTTTTCAAATGGGAAGTATAAGTTTGTGATATATCGTTTGAAAGGTCGCTTCATTCTCTATTCAAAATTATTATCGCTTTCAAGTTTATTTTGAAACAATTGAGATTGAATAAATTAAAATCATGTGGTTACCGAAATTCGATAAAATACACTCAAAATCTAAAATGTAATGCAAAACGTAATGAAATGTAGAATATGAAAAATAACTATGGGTGTTAACGAAGTAGCTATTCGAAATATTCACCGCGAACGTCTTGCTAACATCTCAATCTCAAATAAAACTGTATTCTAACATTTCATCAGTTCGAACTTTCATTGTCTATTATAATATAAATTAATTTGGAATCCCTGAAAAAAAATAATTAAACAGATTAACCGAAAATAACAATTTTATTAAAACAAAAGACTGAAATCACAAAGAAATAACATACAAGCAGCACCAAAAAAAATAAAAAATTGAAATATTAATAAAAGCTGAAAATTAGAAAATTAAAAAGTATTATTTACAAAAAATGAAAAATAGAAATTAATAGATTCCAAACCAAGTTACGTCACATTCGACTGTTAGTATCCACAACCGTCTTCGGGTGATAACTGAACTTATTCCTTTTTCTCCTAAACCAGTGTTCCTCTTTGTGGAAGATTCCAGCTTGAGCCCACTTGATGTTATAATGGTGAGTCCTGATTTGCTGGTTTCTCCTCGCTGAGAGAGTTTCTTGTGCTCATCAATGCGAACTTTCAATGGCCTCTTAGTTTCATCGATGTATGATTCTCCGCACTCGCAAGATATCTGGTAAATGCAATTCTTGGAATCGCAGCCCGCGTTTGGTGGCCTGGTTTTTGTGAGGCTGCTACAGATAGTGTTCCCAGGTTCTGATGTTATACTTCTTATCCTTTCCGATAATCTTCTGATATAGGGAAGTACAAGTATGGTTGTGGCGGCTTCTCTTCCTTGTGGAGCTCTTGCTGTCTTCTAGCTAAAGCCTGTTCTATCATCATTCTGGAGTAACCATTCCGTTTAANATCTCCGTAACCAATCATTTGTAAAACTGTTATTTTATGCATTTCCGTTATTCTAACCATTCGTCAGACTTGAAGTTAACAAACTTTGAACTTGAATTAAAATACTGACAGCTAATGTTGTAACATACAAAACAAGTTGACAAGGCGTTTTGAACTATTTTTGCCACGGAAATTATTTACAGTTCAAAGGATACCATCTGAAAAGAACATTGACAAAATGGTTTAGACTTTCACGGCTGAGGTTTTCAGTGTCACTGTTTTTCGAATTTGAAAATCGACGGCTTTCTAACTCGAAAAGAAATGACACTGAAAAGAACATTGCTATGGTTTTTGCTTACTTGCTTATTGCCAATATCTCAGCATGAAATAAGTTTTGACTATATTGCAATAAGTTTTGAGTGTATCTTATCGAATTCAGGTAACCACATGATTTTAATTCATTTTATCTTTATTTTTGCAATAAATTCAACAGCGATAACATTTTTGAATAGAGAATGAAGAGACCTTTCAAACGATATATCACAAGCCTATACTTCCCATTCAAAAAATTGGGGGTTGTACCTGTCATTCGACGGAGGTTGAAGGTAAGGGTATCATTTTTCTGTTGAAGGATGTCAAATTATAATTTGAATTTGCGTTTTTTGGGATTTTGTTAAAATATCTACCGTAACCGAAATAATAAAGTTAGTCCATTTGGCTTCTACACACTATATATTTACGATGTTTATATTACATAGTAACTGTTTGGGGTGAATTTTTCAGTTTGTCCTTTATTATTCACTTTTGATTCAGCTTCGTTCATTTTTCAGATTGTGGATAGTTATATGTCCAAAAAAAACCAGCAAGAAATATTAGGACAAAGAATTGTCTTTCAAACAATATGAATCAATTGTCACATAAAAATAGTAATTATTCAAGGCACTTGAAATTGAAAATGGATCAAAATTCATCCATTCACTTCTAGTGTAAAATATTCTTTCTGGTGGGAGTTATTCTTAGGAATGAAAAATAGAAATGAGTACTCAATATCCCACTATGAGAATCGAGCCATTTTTACAAAATGAATATAAAAAATAGTTGTTACCATGGGATCCTGTTTCCATATTTTCTATCTTCAACGACTGAAGCCGGTAATTCTATTGAATTCAAATAGAAATGCTGAAATAACCGAAAGATATCTACCGAACAGAAAATGTGAACTTACAGTTTTGTAGGGTACTGTTTTAAATTTTAGTTTATATCTTTCTGAGGCTGCTCTAACACCATTTTTTCACAAAATTATATTGCACTACACACAATCAATTTCACCTTACAATACACCTTGAACTGCTAATAGATGGATTCTGATTATTTTGTTCATGTGGGGGGTCTTGGACGCTATACATTACAGTTATACTGCAAAAAGAAATATTCCATGATGATGAAGTGATACAAATGAAACTACTGTATTTTCTAAAGCCTTCATTAATCTCCATGACACGAGCAATCCATATTTTTTCATGAAATATTCTAGTCAAAAATTCTTCTGAGAGAAGTAGGATATTGTGGACTCAAAAGTTGTTTGGAAATGAAGAAAATAATTTTTAAACACAATATTTGATAATTTCAAATAACCATACTGTTTTATACTCTATATTACCTACATGCCTACTTTCTAATGAATGAATCAATCACAAAGGTTAGGTACGAATTCATTAACTGTATGAGTAAATTAAATTTTTGAAATTACCCTCTGACATTCTGCACAAGTAGATCAAGCAACTTCTCAGAGTCTTCCCTATATTGAAACGAAATCATTTATTTCTGATTTCTCTTCCCAAAAAATACGAAAGAAATGTCGTAATGTTTGTCCCATTCTTTAAAACGAATCATACTGTACCACGATGGGGAACTATTTATATTTCGGCTTGTTTAACACAAAAAGACTGTTGGTAGACCAGTCACAATTTTTACTGTTTTGGAATTTAATAGCTTTGTATAGAAGAGGAGAAATGATACCCGAAATGTGAGCAATAATTAATTCCACTTATCGCTGGAAGACATTCGTGCCAAAACAACGCTGCGTAAAAGAATAAATCAAATTGAATACATTTCTTGAACTGGTTGTTTCATCGTGAGTCTGCTACCCACTCAC